GACCCACAGAGTGAGAATCGCTGGGGTCGGGGTTTGTGGGAAGGTGGGATCTTGTTCTGTGGTAACAACGTCAGGTCGCTGAGAGTCGGGATCGACTCTGTGGCTACTAACAACACCACCACACAGACGACGCACTATGAGGAAGCTGTAAAGAGAAACGAAGGGAGTCCTTCGGCACAAGAGTTCAGCGCTCAGCTGCTCTCCCCAAGGTGGCGGCTTGGCCCAATTCCACAACCACCCTCACTTAGCTATCAGAGCCCCACCTTCTCAGCTCCCAAATGGGGCAAAAACCAAGAACATGTCCGGAGGAATCATTCCTTGAACATCCAGACTGAAATACAGACAAGTAATCCACAAGAGTAGTTTTGGAAAAATGTTCACCTCTGGCTCTTTCTGGGCTTTAATGCACATAAAGTAATTTTAAAAGTGTATCAATTCTACCCAAGCTGCCACATGAGCCCTCCTGGTCACTGAACGTGATTGCCTACCCATCTCCAGAACATGGGCTTTTCCACAACACAGACGCTCCCAAAGGCTCCCGAGACTGAATTACGGAGCATCACGAACTCCGTCAGTGGACAAAACAGGCAACTAAAGGCAAATAGCAACTTACCCACTTCAGTGAGCTGTCGTCGGTCTAGTGTTATCTTCTTTGGATCCTTAATAAAATGAAAGGGCTGTATTTTTACTCCTTCAATTTGAGGGAATAGAAGGGCAAAGCCAGCTTCTCCAATTTCTATTTCCTGAGGCCGATTACTGCCCGGCCCCATGGGAGTCACTAGGAAAGAAGTAAGAGTCGCATGAGCACGTACACCCTGCCGTTCCACTCTGCTGCTCAGCTTCGCGGCACGATCGGTGACGACAAAGCAGGCGCATAAGCTAATGTGGGGAAGGAAACTGAGGGTGCCAGCCATTGGAAGATACAGTGTCTGGAGTCTTAAAGGCTTGAAGATAAACAAGCGGTCATCTAGCAGGGAAGCAACAAACCCCACATGGAGGAAGCACACCAGCCTGTGTGATCACGAGGTGTCCACTGTATCAGGTATCAAGAGATCCAAAACAAACAATTATATCAATGCGAACAAGCAAGGGTGGGTCAGAGTGGAGACCCAAAGCCCATCTGTAGACAATTAGATATCCCTTCACAGAAGAGTCACAATTCAGCCAGGGTGCAATACAGCACCCATGAAACAACATTCCTCTAGTTCTTTAATGCTTCCTCCCCGCCACTATCATGACCCCAGTTCTACCTTACAAATCTGGCTAGACTGGAGCATGTACATTGGTACAGATCAGTGCCCTCGACACATGGAATCCAGAACAGGTAAACCCCTCAGGAACAGCAATGGGAGCACGATACCATGAGGGTAGGGGGAAGGTGTAGGGTGGAGAAGGGGGAGAAATGGGGAACTGACTACAATGATTTATCACTCCCCCCATCCCCAGGGGGATGAATAATAGTAATGTGGACAAAGGGAGAGAGCACGGACACATTGGACAGTGTAAGATATGACAAAACAATAACTTATAAATTATCAAGGGTTCCTGAGGGAGGGGGGAGCAGGAAGGGAGGGGGAAAATGAGGAGCTGATGCCAAGGGCTCAAGTAGAAAGCAAATGTTTTAAGAATGACGATGGCAACGAATGTACAAATGTGCTTGACACAACTGATATATGTATGGATTATAATGAGAGTTGTATGAGCCTCCAATAAAATGATTTTTTAAAAGATATGAAAATACTAATTTATAATTTATAACCATGAAGGTGGGAGGGCAGGGGAGAGAGGGAAAAAAGAGAAGTTGATATGAAAGGTTTAAACAGAAAGAAAATATTTTGAAATTGATGATGGCAACATGTTTAAATATGCTTGATACAACTGATAGATGGATTGTTGTAAGAGTCCCCAATAAAAGGATTAAAAAATAATAAAATAGGCAAAACAAACATCAAGCAACCAAGACCACTGTATATAATATACTGGAAAACCTGAGCTCTGATTTGTTTTTGAGATAACCAATGTTTAGGGATTTTGATATGGCAGTATGTCAAGAGTCCTTATATTTTAGGTTTGGCATATTTATGGATAAAATGTCATATATTACCAAAAAAAAGCACTCTCTACACACGGAATCCAGGGCAGATAAGCCCCTCTGGAACAAAAATGAGAGTAGCAATCCCTTGAAGGGTGGGGAGAAAGGGAGAACTGATCACAAGATTGGATATATAACATGCACAAACCCCAGAGGGAAGAATAGAAATGTGGGTGAAGGGAAATAACTGTGTAGGATACAAAATAACAATATACAATTGATCAAGGATTCATGGGGGTGGGAGAGTGGCCGAGGGAGGGGGAAAAAGATGAGCTGATATCAAGGGCTCAAATAGAAATGTTTTCGGAAGGATGATGGCAACATATGCACAAGGGTGCTTGATACAACTGAATGATGGATTGTTATAAGCTCTGTAAGAGCCCCCAGTAAAAGAATTAAAGAAACCAAAAAGCCGAAACCCTGCTGTTCCATCTCACAGCAGGGCTCCTTCGGCAGTCCTGCCTGTGGAACGCGGCTCAGCACCAAGCTGATCGCAGGCTCTTCCGCTCACCTGCAGCTGGTTCAGGGAGAGAGGCTTTCATCAACCACGAGTGGAAAAGCAAATCTGGTCTAACTTGTTTACCAGAATGAAGTTAAATGGAAGGGCATGGGAATGCTTACTGCACTTCCACCACTCTTTTCTACAGGCCTCACAAACAGTTTTCTAAAGCAACACTTGGGCTTAAGGACAGGCAATTCTATTTTAATAAATGTATCCTTAAAAAAGTTACATGCAGTCTATAGCCGCCGCACAAGCACTTTACCACAGACTTCTCAATAGGAAATTAAAGGGAAACACCCAAGTGCTCCCTCAATGGTATTTAAGTAATAAGTTACATTTACACAACAGGACTGCTGAGCCAGGCACCACAACAGGCAGGTCACTGGCTGCTGTCGATATATGAGGGGTTACCACCACCCCCAAAACCCAGAATTTTTTGGTCAAAGCTATGCATTTAATTCCGGCCCCCGCCCCCCCAAACACACAAACCAACTCTATCACCTTCAAAGTACTTTCCATTACACTTAATACATTTAGTAAATCTGTGTTCCATTTTTGGAAACATTTTTCAAACTTATCTGTTTGGATGGCTGACAGCACCTCCCTCGTTTTTGCTTTTTTCCCCCTTTACCTCTTTTATGTCGCTGCCCTTTCATGTCTCTCTTCATTGGCAGAAACAAAAAGAAGTCGCATGGAGCAAGGTCAGGTGCACGGGGCAAGAGAGGCATGTTGTGTTTTGCCACAAACTGGTGCACTGGGATGGCTGCGTGAGCAGGTGCATTGTCGTAGTGGCAAAACCAGTCCCCCACCTGCCTCAAATCAGGCCAGTTTTGACACACAGTTATCCAATCTTTCCAGAACCTCTAAGTAGAAAGCTTGATTAACCACCTGACCTGGTAGACCGAACTCCAAAGGTACCATCCCCCTCACATCAAAAAACCAATGAGCATCGTCTTGATCTTTGATTTCACCCGATGAGCTTTTTTTGGGCGAGGTGACGATGGAGTCTTCCGCTGGCTTGACTGAAGGTGTTCTGGGTCATAAGAATAGCACCATGTCCCCTCACCAGTCTGGGTCGCTTCAGAGCTGTTCTTTCGAAGCACAGCATGTTCCCACTTGACGGTCCTTATCCTGGTCAGTCAACTCAGGCACACATTTTGCAGTGACCCTTCTCATTCCCAAATCTTCGTTCAAAGTCACCGAACCAAGCTCCAAAATAGTCCTGATAACGTCCCCATCTCTTCAATGGTCCCTCGTTGGTCTTCGGGCACAAGTGCATGGATGGATGTCCAGGAAAAGGTTTGTCATCAATCGACCTTTCACCTTTTTGGAAATGAGAAAGCCACTTGTACACTTGAGTTTTTCTCATAGCCGCTGTCCTTGTAAGCTGTGTTCAAGATGGTAACAGTTTCTGCGGCTCTCGCCCACCCCCCGGGCACGAAACAAAATTGCACAGCCGCATGCTTTCCTCTTAAAACGACCACTCACAAAAAAATTCACTGTGACCAAAGAGAACCTTTCCAGGTGATGCCACTGGGTGCACTAAAGCCTGGGGAGGGGGAATGCTTACTAGGAAAGCTCTGACCACCAGATCTTTTTTCACATTTTTTTGAGGTGGGGTTACACTCTTGTATGTTTGCAATATGCTGTGAAGTTTTTTGCTGTTTTTAAAAATCAGCTTCAGTTTACTTGTCATTCAGCAACCCATACACCAATCCAACGACTTTTACTTGTGCACCTAGCAGCACAGATTCCATGTCCAGGGTGCAACCACTTTCTCCTTCTGCCTCCCAGTGGTCCCTCCAACTCCTTGTCCCCCAAGTTTCCTGCCAAACTTTCAGGTTGCTATTGTCCCTTTAACAAACAGTCCTAAGAAGCGCACAGTGTGCAAGGCAGACATTCTTACTGAGGAAGCTCAACAATACTGTGGTTGTAAGAAGTCCTCCAAAGGGTAATTCTGACTTAAGGTTGAAAAATTATCTCAGGGCAATCCTTTCAAGGGCTCACTTGTTACAGCCCCAAACCGGAAACAACCCAAATATTCATCAAAAGGAGAATGGATGTACAAATCTGAATTTATTTATATAATAGAATATTATTTAAGAAATTAGTTAAAAACAAAATTCTGTGAAAATTTTACATTGAGGGAAACAAGCAAAAACGCAGGCTTCTCTATGGGACTGTGCCATTTATATGGCACTTAATGGGAGGCAAACAGTAAGGACCGACAGCCACCAAAAAGTTAGCCATGATATTTGGTTAATGTAGGTATGCCTCGAGATTGCAAATATTAATCACCATAACTTAAGGAACATTAGTATAAGTCAAATATAATAGCATGGTAGATGTCACTACTTTTATTGTGTTAGGGATAGCCAAAAATAGGAACATACTTTTAAGATACAAATAACACACCAATCCCACAGTAATAGAAGATGCGAAACCATTGAATCGGTATTTCTCTTACCTATGATTCCTGGGGTCACAATCCCAAGGACTTGGCACTGTTTGGGAAATAGCTTCTCAAGAGCAAATGCTGTTTCCATATTAGTTCTTTTCCTTGCTGCAATGACACCGTTACACATTTAAACATACACATCTGATTGTATAAATAAAAAGAAAACCAAACACTGGGTCACTTTAAAGTCATTCGACACCAGAAAACTTACCAGAAAATTGAAAGCTTTAATTCAAACAATCTTTTCCTCCTCCTGGGCTTCTGCTGTACTTTAAATTCTAAAGCCTCACGCACGAGTTGGCCTCTTTCTTGCATTTACAGCCCCTCCTTACTTACAGACACGGTTAGGTTCCAGACACCAGGTCACTATGTGAACTTAAGAGGATGACCAGGAGATCAAAAATGGAGGAAGACTACACCATCACACACCAATGTGAAACCCAAACCAGACTCCTTGCCACTGAGTCTACGCCGACTCTTACCAAACCCAACCTGTGGGTTTCTGAGACTACCTCTTTATAAGAGTAGAAAACCCAGGAGCAGCTGGTGGTTTTGAACTGCTGAACATAGAGCCCAACTCCATGCCATCCGAGCTCCATGACCCAGAGAAGCGGACACAAAACCTTAACCCTCACAACAGCATCACACTTGCTTCTGACCTTGGAGTTCCCTAAGGAGACAGTCAATGAGCGATGAGGCCATTCTGCTTTTGCCCCACGATCTCAAATTCAGCAGAAGCCAGGCTCACTACTGGACCTTTTTGTGCACCTGATAAAGAACCACGGTAACAGAGGGGTAGTTTGACTTTTTTTTTTTTTTGGGGGGGGGGGGGGAGGTCAACTTGATGGTACCTGTGGAGTCCAACCTGTCCATCAGGTGGGCAGTCTGGTGATGCAGCCTTTTTAGAAGAAACTGGGAACCTCCCCCTGCACTTGGCCTTCCTGCTTGCTGGCACTCTGCCTGGCTCCAGGGGTGGCCTCATGTGGGTCGCCTGACCCTGAGAGCTGTCTGTGTCCTGCCATGGTTCCACTAACCTGTGTCCACGCAACTGTGCACCTGCCCACCTGTGATCTCCCTGTTTCCAGCTACACCTTTCGGTATCATTGATCTTCCATGACCTGAATCTACAGAGGGCTACAGCTGGCATGGGACCCATGAGTTGGACGGGGCTGGACTGCTTCACTGATACAAAGTTATTTCTCGATATAGATAGAGTCCCTTCTTAAACATCTATGTGTCATGGGTTTGTTTCTCTAGATAACTCAGCCTAATACAGTTTAGTGCGTGGGAGCAGGGTTGGTTCTAGAGCAGTGGTTCTCAACCTTCCTGATGCTGTGACCCTTTAATACAGTTCCTCATGTTGTGGTGACCCCCAACCATAAAATTATTTTCGTTGCTACTGTTATGAATCGGTCGACCCCTGTGAAAGGGTCGTTCGACCCCCAAAGGGGTCACGACCCACAGGTCAAAAACCGCTGCTCTAGAGAAACAGATCATGAAGATGAAGAATGGAGGCTTGTCTGACCTCTGCCTTATGACAACTGGGTGGAGCTGGCCAGAGGTCAGATATGGCCACCTGGTTGGTATTTGGAAAGGTCTTGGCAAAGGGCACTTTTGATTCTTAGAAAATTGTCTTTCGTTATTCCTACTTGAATGGGGCAAAGCCCATGTACGCTGCCTGACCCCAAGAGCCGTCTGTACCGTGTTTCCACTGATTTTGGGCTGAGACTCTGTACCAGCTGACCCGTGATGCCCCTGCTTTACCTTTCTGCATCATCGGCCTTCACTACGGTTATCTGACGAGCGCTCCAGCTAGGATAGGACCCATGAACTTGAATTGGTCTTGGCTGGGATACTTTCTTGGTATTAAGTTTCTTCTTATGTGAGTATCACTGGTTTTGTTTCTCTAGAGAACCCAGCCTAATACAGCATTAAACTGTATTTAATGCAAGCCATCAGATGCTCTGTGGGAAAGAAACAGGGCTGTCTACTCCCATATAGTCTCACAGTCTCGGAAACCCAAAGGAAGAACTCTGCTCTGTCCTGTATGGTTGCTATGTGTTGCAATGGATTCAATGGCAGGGGTTTTGGAGGTCTGGGGTTCAAATTATAACTCTTTTTGACTCTATAAGCAGTTAACGAAATTCAGATTAGATAATGATAGCAGAGTGAATTATGCATTGAGGCGCTAACCCCAAAGTCAGTGGTTCAAACTCACTAGCTGCTCCTTGGGAGATAGATGAGGCTGTTTGCGCCTGTGAAGACTTAAGTCTCGTGGTACCCAGAGAGGTAGTTATACTCTGTTTTATAGGGTTGCTATGAGTCAGAACTATCTTGATTGGCAGTGAGTTGTGTCATGTTGTTGCTTTGTTTTAATTTCTAACTCTGGGTCTGGTGTGCGTGTCTTAGGGCACTCAGCCCACTTTTGGCCTTAGCAGGGCAAGAACGCATGGTATATAGATACAAAATCAAAAAGAGTGTCTGGAAGATTTCAAATTAAGGAATAACAACCAAAAAATCTTTTGAAGAACTTGCTTTCGCAAATTCTGCAGTTTAACAAGCAATCTTTAGAGCAAAAACAGTTCCTGAAGATTCAGAGAGACTTATTCATGTATACTATCAGGGACAGGCTTGGAAAGCCAGTCATTCACAAGACTCGTACTGTATCCAACCCCAGGCAGCAGGAACATAAGAACTCAGACCAGAGAGAAACGCTTGCGTTTGATATTCACCTCTCTTGTGACCACGGCACTCTTCCAGACTAATAAACGTTTCGGAGTCAGCCATGTAAAGGACTGTCTGGGGTAAGATGCGAACATTCTGCAAAGAAAAAAGAAAACTGGATTGGATCACAGGACTCTTATAGAGCGTGGCGGTGGCCCTGCAGCATCTCCCTGGCAAATGATGCCTTCCTCACCTGCCTGCTTTCAGGTAGGCGCTAGCATTCTCAGTCTCTCCACTTAAGATTCTGTTTTCAACTAAGTCATTTACTTCACGCCTATGACTCTTTCAAAGGAGCCCTGCTGGAGCTTTGGGTAGGGCAATGGCATGCTAATAGCAAGGTTGCCAGTTCAAACCCACCGGCTGTTCCTTGTGAGAAAGATGAAGCTAGCTGCTACTGTAGAGATGTATAGACTGCTACCTGTATCGGGTCAGTGGGAATCGGAACCAACCCATGGGCAGTGGGTTTGTATTCGTTTATTTTTTAATTATTCCTTCAAAGGAGCCATGATAATGCAATAGTCCAGTGCTTGGTGGCTAGCCAAAAGGCTGGCAGCTGAAACCTACCAGCAGCTCTACAAAAGATGTGCCCATCAGCTCCCATCCATATCACAGCCTGGAGAGCCCCTGTGGCAGTGTTACTCTGCCAGGCTGCGTCACGAGGCTTGTGAGCTGACTTGGCAGTGTGTACTGTTGTTCTTGTTAGGCATGCTCATAGCGCTAAAGCACCAAACACAGGCCATTCCTGCACCATCCTCACAACTTGTACTATGCTTGAACCACGGGCGCAATGACTACGTCAGTTCATCTCCCTGATGGCCCAGCAACAGTACGAGCCCTTCAAATAAGACAGATCTCCAAGCCAAGTTCATTTTCCCAGTGGTAGCCATGTAAGTTCCGATACAAAAACAGTAGAACGAGGGGTTATTTGTACTTCTAAACTGTGGAAGGCGTAGACCATGTAATAAACACCTGCTTTGTTCTTCAATGAACAAGTTGGCCAATTTTGGCAAAAGCCAGAGACTAGGAGATTGAGGTTCTCAAAAGAGAATCAAGTATAAAAGTCTTGTTAATTCTTGCAAACTGGGATGCTTTCCCAGGATGGATGGATCTCCCATTAAATTCGGCTGTCTGTCTCTCTGCTCAACGTGGAGTGGTTAACGAGGACTCCACACCACGGAGGTGACACTGATAGAGCCGATGGAAAAGCTGGCCTGCTCCTAATCAAAATACTAGAAACAGAACAAAACTCAAGATTTCATTTGTTGGAATTAAAAAATGGAGTTTTCTGGTTCAGCGTGAACCAGCCCCGTCCCCAGCAATAAAAATGTCTTTTAAGCTTAATCAGGAGGGATGGTTGTCTCATTCAGGCACAGGCTTAAACAAGGCCATTAAGGTAGGAAGCCAGACCCGAAGCCCCCCGTTTAGATGAACACCACAAGCATTCTTTGGCGGACGGTGGTCTGGTAAACTACACCTGAAACTCCTGATAAACTTAAGCCTGGGGAAAATGTGATCGCTGAAAAATCTTTTTGTCAGTTTGGCTACAGAATGTGCTTGATTTTCAAAGCAGTTTGGCGAGGGCAAACCCCACTGTTCCCTTCCAGAAGCACACTTTCTTGAACTAACCTGTCTGGCCGAAACAGTGACAGGAAAGCACAGACCCTGGTTCCCAGCATCGACACTGGTCGATGATGTTTTTATTATCAGAACGGAATAAAGAACTTAGTATCGAGCTCTTCACTTCAGTGCTGGTGAAAAGAAACAAGGATCCATTAGGATGTGGGGGGATGTTACCATGTGGCCAAGTCGATGTACATACACCTCTCAATAAACAAGCAGTGGTAGGACAACTTGCAGTCACTTCAGGGCCAGATAAGAAAGACCTGTGGACAGAGTTTCCTTAGCCCCATAGGTTCAAACAAAGTGTAAACTGGTAGCCAACATGGAACATGCCACAGGAGCATTACATAAAATGGGACTTTTGAAAAACGGGTCATCCTGACATGGCTTGGCCAGCACTGCCTTTGGCAGAGGTAAAATACTCAAGTTTGCCACAGCCCTACCACTCACCGCTGGGTTACTCCGGGCCACTGAGTCTCCACTGCTTGGCGTGGTGGGTAATGGAAAGACCATTCTAGAGACTTAGGTCTTTGCCTTGATTCTGCCACACACTAGCAGACTAACCATGCAGTTTTTAGGCCCTATGTTTATTAATCTTAAAGAAGCGTTGGCAATTTAATCCTGGAGTTTCATGGGCCTCTCTATCTGGCACCCACTGAAAAACATTACTGGGTGTCTTCTCTTCAGAAAGACAACAATGTAACCCAACCAGGACCTCTTCCCATCATTCAAAGGTGTTGCAAAGGTTGAGAAGTTTTAGAAAGCTGTAGGGGGCATGAAAATATGCCCAGTAACAGAGTTAAAGCAAGTATGTACCCAAAAGAATTGAAAGCATAAACTTGCACACCAATATTTACTGAAGAGTGCAGTGGTTATGTTAGGCTGTGATCCAAAAGGTCAGCAGATTGAAATCACCAGCCACGCTTACTCTTCGGGAGAAAGATGGGCTTTCGGAACTGGTGAAGAGTTAGTCTCAGAAACCCACAGGGCAGTTCGACTCCGTCCTATAGCGTTGCTGTGAGTCAGCATCGACCCTACAGCGGTCGGTTTAGTCACAAGAGGCAAAAGGTGGAAACAATCTCCGAAGGTCCACCATGAAAACCAACAAGCCACCTCAGAGGTGAGGGGTGGGGGGTTGGGGGAGGAGAATCTCACGACACTTCAGAAAGAGGAGCCAGGAGTGGAGTGCTTCCTCCAGACTCTGAGGTCCCTGTGTGCTGAGCATCCTTGAGACAGGGCGCTGGGATACCAGACAGTGAGAGGAACGGAGCAGCAAGATAGTGGTGTGCTCCCCACCCCAGTGAGCAAGAAGGCTGAGTGCCTTTGGGGGGGAGGGGGGGGAATCTCACAAAGTATAAAGAAGCACTTTTAAAAATCACTCACACCTCCACACCTAAAGAAAAGAAATACATGTTAACTTTTTTTAACTGTTTATTTACTTTTAATGCAAAATCATTCAGATAAGACTTAAGGTATACTTTCTTAATCTGCTTGTTCACTTACAAAATCCACCCACCCCCCAACCCCATCATTATAATGTCCCCCACGTCTTGGTTTTCAGCTTTCTGGTTATGCAAACACTGAGGAGGCAGAGCAAGAGTTCAGGCACCTTTCTTGCAAAATAGGCAGCAGCAGTGCTCACTGTTAACTGTGATTATACTGGATACTTCAATTGCCAACATTCAAAGAAATGTGAAAAAATGTAAGTGCACATCCTTCACTTGCTGCCACCAAGTGGATTCCCATTCAAACTGTTTCATCTAAAACTCAACGGGGAGAAACCGCCCTCTATTATATTGCGTATGTATTTTAAGTGAATTTCTTTTCTGCCTCTGGTGATCTGGTCTCTTCCAGTTTTATACCAAAGCTGCTTCTTTAAAAAAAAACACATTTTATTGGGAGCTTACAGATCTTATCAAGCTTCTTAAACTGTGGGTCTCAACCTCAAATGGGCTCCCATGACTGAATATGGGGGTGGTGAAATTTGTGGCAACAGTGAAAGGATTCTGCGCATGTAATGATCAGAAATTAATTGAAAATGAAGGAGTAATGAATCCAAAGTGTTTCTGGCAGCCGTTGCCTTTGTTGCAAAATTTTCAGGCAGAATCCTGGGATCATGTGGGGAAACAGGTTAAGGCACCTTGACTGTAGATTCTAATTTTGCAGGTGTACGGGTTTTCCATAGGTCACATCAGGCGGCTTCCATTGGGTTTCCCCCAGATCTCTATTGCTTTGGACCAAAAACCACTCCCTGCCACCATATTGACTCTAAACCTTAATGTTGAGTGTCCTAGTCTGTAACTCTTTAGTAGAAAACAGCGCCTTCCTCCTGCCAAACTGGATGGTGGCTTCTAACGCCTGACATTGCGGAAACACAGCCCACTGGTAACAGCTCTGGTCCTTTCGAAGTTGCCTAATCATTGGCCACTTAGGTCTACCATGTATTTACCATCCAGTGGACCACACACTGAGATGCCAAGGAGAAGGTGGGCAGTTGGAACTTACCAACTGCTCCGCAGGAGAAAAAGATACGGTTGTCTACTCCCGTAAAGATTTAACGCCCCAGGAACTAGTGGTTCGACTCTACAGGGTCTCGGAGATGGTAACACAGCCTGACAACATAACGTTCATATCTACCCTAAAGCGGAGGCGTATTGACTTTTAGTGTTTGAGACAATGTTCCCTACATTACAAAATAAAGCCATATATAACATGGGGGTTCGAGAGAGGGGAGGGAGAGAGACATAGTTCCCAAAGACTGTCCCAACAACCCTGGGAACGGCCGGACACGACAGCCCGTCTTACTTGCCTCCAGCTCCTCCGCCAGCGCTCGGACCAAGCAGTGGCCCTCCAGGTGGCTGCCCTCCGCCGGGCCCGCGGAGATCCAGGTCACACTGCGGTGGGCCCGCAGCACGCGGCGCACACACTCCCTCCAGAGGCGGCACACGCTGGGGACGCAAATGCACAGGGGTTGGGAATGGACTTTCGCTCCCACCTCTCGGCTGCCCGCAACCCCCGGGGGCCCCGGGCAGATCCCAGGGCGCCGAGCGAGCAGAGTTGCGCGCCGCTGGTTTGGAGGGAGAGCCAGGCGCACAGAGCACCTGCAGGAGCGTGTCGCCAGGCCAGGCCAGGCGGGTAGGGGCGTCATCTCAAGACAGAGCTGAGCCGTCGAGGCACCCCAGGGTCGCGCGGGCGTCCCCAGCCCCCCGGCCGCGGTGCCCACGGTACGCGGGCCGCCGCCTCGGTCCTCACCCGGCCACCCGCAGCAACGCCTTGGCGGGGAGGAAGGTCAGGACGCGCTCCACCACCTCCGCCAGGTTACTCAGCACGAAGGCGCTCAGAGCACCTGCAGGAGCGTGTCGCCAGGCCAGGCC